TCTGTTTTTGTGCCAATCTTGCCCTATTTTTAAGTCTCATGTTTGTGAGACTTATCTATCTTGATATATTTCTAGTTGATCTTCAGTGCTATACATTATTCCCTGTCATACCACTCCACTTCTGTATTCATTTTCTGAGTGGTGATTATCTCTGGTCTTTGCAATAACAAAAAAGTTTATATGAAAATAATGGTTCTTTGTGTGCAAAGTCAAATATTTCTTTGGCCAGTGATTGTCAAAGTGTGATCCACACACCCCTGTTGGGCCCAGACCCTTTCAGGCAACCCATGAGGTCAGTCATTTTCCTAATAATACAAAGACATATTTACCACTTTCACTGTGTTGACATTTGTACTGATAATATAAAAGCAATGGTAGGCAAACCTGCTACAGATGAAGACAATGGCACCAGTTTGTACCAGGAGTCTTTGTATTCTTGACCACTGCACACTGGGGATTTTAATAAATCACTTAAGAATAGTAATTTCATGAAAATTCAACTCTTAGGTACTCATCTATTTAGTATTCTATATGTTAACATGGAAAGGAAGCACAAATCAGTCCAGTTGCATGCCGAAGGGCAATAGTGTCTCAAGGGAAATCATGCACTTGTTTGAGTTGCAAGATGAACTACCACTTTTTTTCATAGAATCTCATCTTTACTTGAAAGAATTCCTGGCAGACAAACCATGATTATTTCAGTCTTGGGTATTAGGCAGACGTTTTCAATAATTTCTCAGTTTCCACTGCAAAATGTTACAAAATGATGCATGAGTAAAAAAAAAAAAAAACAAAAAAAAACCTCCATTCATAGTGCAAGATAGATCATAGACTTTTATTTAACAGAGTATGAAAAGTTCATTGACACGATTTCAAATTCCAGTTTTCAACTAACCTTTAAGAAGCTACTATTTGTTACGTTTTGGGTATAGTATCAAAGAAAGATAGAAAAGACTGTTGAAATACTCCTCCTTTCTTCGATTCCATATCTGTGCAAGTCTATTTTCTTCACATACTTCAGTCAAAGCAGTACCACAATAGACTGAATGCAGAAACACGTTCTAGCTGTGTTCTGTTAAGCTAAGTCATAAAGGTATTTGCAGAAATGTAAAATAATGCCAATTTTCTCACTAAAGGTTTTACTTGGGAAAATACAATTATTTTATAAAAGTATGATGTTGGTGTTAGCATGCAATAGGCTTATATTGCTTTTTAAATGAATAATAATGTTTTAATTTCTCAACTTCATTTTCTAATATAGTAAATATTAATAGATAGAACTCACATAAACAAAAGCTCTTTGGTATCCTCAATAATTTTTAAAGGTTTCTAACAGACACATGAAAAGATGCTCAATATCACTCATCATCAGGCAAATACAAATCAAAACCGCAATGAGATACCACCTCACGCCTGTCAGAATGGCTAAAATTAACAGCTCAGCAAACAACAGACGTTGGTGAAGTTGCAGAGAGAGGAGAACACTTTTGCATTGCTGGTGGGAATGCAAACTAGTGAAGCCACTCTGGAAAACAGTGTGGAGGTACCTCAAAACATTAAAAATAGAACTACCCTATGACACAGCAATTGCACAACTAGGTATTTATCCAAAGGGTACAAAAATACTGATTCTAAGATGTACATGCACCCCAATGTTTGTAGCAGCACTATCAACAATAGCCAAATCATGGAAAGAGCTCAAATGTCCATTGATGGATGAATAGATAAAGAAGATGTGGTACACACACACACACACACACACACACTCACACACTCAAATATTACTCAGCCATCAAAAAGAATGAAATCCTGCCATTTTCAACCATGTGAATGGAACTAGAATGTATTATGCTAAGTGAAATAAGTCAGCCATAGAAAGGTAAGTATCATATCATTTCACTTATACGTGGAATTTAAGAAACAAAACAGATGAACATAGGGGAAAGGAAAGAAAAATAAGATAAAAACAGAGAAGGAGGCAACCCATAAGAGACTCTTAAGTACAGAGAATAAACTGAGGGTTGCGAGAGGGGTGAGGCAATGGGCTAAATGGGTGATGGACATTAAGGAGGGCACTTGTTGGGATGAGCACTGGGTATTATATGTAAGTGATGAAGCACTAAATTCTACTCCTGAGCCATCATTACACTATATTTTAACTTAGATTTAAATTAAAAAATGATAATAATCAATTACAAAACAATGAAAGAAATAATAATTTTTTAAAGGTATAAAGCGTCTTGGGACCAGAATGCTTAAGAACTGATGATGTAGGATATACCCAAGAATGGAATTGCTGGGTTGTAATTTATCTTTGCTAAGTATTTCCAAATTGTTCTTCAAAAAGATTGCACCTAAATTCTTACTTGCAGTGTACGAGAATACCCATTGTTTACATTGTTAGCAGCATTTGGAACTGTTTCAGGCTTTAATCTTTTTATATCTAATGTGTGTCAAAGTGTTGTTTTAACTTGTATTTCTCTAATTATTGGTGAGATTATGCATTTTCTGTGTGTTTATTACCTCTATAGATCTTCTCATCTTTGAAAATCCTGTTTATGTATTTTTTTGCACCTTCTCCTATGGAGTTGTCGCTTCACATTAATTTTTTAAAAAGATTCACATTTTCCAGACATGTATCCTACTTGGTTTCTCTCCTTTTTTCACCTTTAAATTTTTAATTTTTTATTGAGATATAAATTACATGCAATAAAATGTATATATTGTAAGTATTGAGTTCATGAGCTTTGACAATTGTATAAGCCCATGTTTTAAACACCCAACACAAGATATAGAATATCACTCTCATTCCAGAAATTTCCTCCTGCTTCTCTACAGAGGCAACCACCATAGATTAGATTAGTGTTGTCTATAACTTCAAACAAATAGGATCATATAGCCTGTGTTCCTTTGTGTCTGGCTTCTTTCTTTCAGCATGTTTTTGAGATTCACCGATGTGGTTATATGTGTCAGTAGTTCATTCCTTGTTATTGATGAATACAATTCTATTGTATAAATATACCAAAATTTGTTTATCCATTATCCAGCGGGTATATATTTGAGTTGTTTCCAGTCTTGGGCTATTTATTGCAAGTAAAATTGCCAGGAACATTCTTGTACACACATTTTTTTTTTTTTTGGTAACATGTTTTTGTTCCTTTTGGGTAAAACACCTAGGAAAGGAACAAAATACTTTTTAAATGTATTTGAACTACAAATATTATCTCCCTTATGTTTTAATTTTTCTTCTCTTCTTGCTCCCCTCCCCCATTATACTATGTTATACATAAATTATTTAGATTTATCTCCTGGTTCACTTTCTTCTCCAACTATATCTACCCTGCTGCTTATCACATATACCAAGCTTTCATTTCAATGATTGTATTTTCATTTCCAGGATTTCTCTTTCATTCCTTTTTTGAGTCTTCTAGTATTTTTAAATAGTATCTTCTTCCTTTCTTTTATTGTTTAGTCCATATTTTGCTGCTTTATTTAAAATAAAATATCTTGTACTCAATATTTTCAGTTTCTGATTTTTTAGGGCCTCTAGTCACATTGTGTTTTGTTTCTATTAAGTCTCAGTCTTAGTAAGTTATTTCCTTGTGGTTTGTAAATCTAGGCTGGTAAAGTTTATCTGTGAGATTCATGCTGTTATTTTGATTATACGTGTGTGTGTGTGTGTGTGTACATGTGTGTATATATATATATATATATATATATATTTTTTTTTTGTAATTAACTATCTTCCACTCCAGCCTGGAACTGGACTTGAAAAGTGAAACTTGGAGCCTGTCACAGGAAGGATTTAATGTGAGCAACAGGCAGGATTTCCTAAAGGTCCCTCCATCCTGGAAGCCTGGTCCCCGGTATGCAGGGAAAGGGGAACAGTGGAAAGACCGAACCGTTGCTTTGACAACGCCCAGCATAGTAACTGACCCCCACTCCGAGCACTGAGCTCTGCTCTAACCTGGATTCCCTGGGGACCTGAAAGATTTCTTTGTTGAGAAAAGGGAAGCCTGGGATCTGGCCCTTTTTGAGGTTAAAGGTGCTGAACTCGGGGATGAGAAGCCCATGTGCATTCCTTCTCTCCTTCCTCTCTATCCACAACCACGGGATCACCACGCTCCAGCCTTCATGGGTCTGCCTCAGGGTGAGAGGTGACCAGATTAATCTTAGAGGGGAGTCTTGAGGGAGAGCAGGACAGGGAGCCCTTGGTGAGCATGTACGGCTGCCAGAAGAGATTTTTTTTTCACTTTCAAATTCTACCAGTTGGCAGAGGTGCTAAGAACCTCTTCCTGTTAATATCTTAACTCAGAGTTTCTGACCTCTCAAGGTGTATAAATTCAAATCTTAAAGCCATGTATAGGCACATTTAAATTCTTTTTTCTACCCAGAGCCCAGATAAAGCAGACAGTTTTTCTTATCATTTCACTTTGCCTGGACATCTTTTTTCTGGTGGAATAGGCCTTTGGGGGTCTAGCACTCATGCAGAGTCTCAATTCTACCTCCCTGCCATGGCTCAAGGCCTTGCCTTTTGTCCCCACATGTCAGAAACCCAAACCTCTTGATTACCAAAATTACCAAATGTCCCCAAAGCAAGGCTGGGGCTAAAGTTAGCACCACCTCACCACTTTTTTTTTTATGTCTGGAAGTTTCTCCTTTTTCTTGGGAGCTTGAAATTTTAAAAACTCTGTTACATTTGATCCATGATTTCTAGGTGTTTTGTATTTAGAGGTTTTTCAAAGTACCTAGTCTGTTATGAAGACAGAAACAGGAGTCCACAAGCTGTGGTTTCCTCCCACCAAAGTCATCAATGAGTAATGACCACAATTCTTTCTCCAAGTCAGAAATCAACTGCTTTGTGATTAGGAAAGGGACAGTATCCAAAGAGACATACATCTTCCTTATATCTGAGAAACTTCTGCCCAATCCCTTTATTTTATCAGGCTCTGAGGGCTCTTGGATTACTGAAAAAATTGACGAGTGTGGAAAGCATCCTGTGAAAACATTCTGGGAAGTTTAATTGGGAACAGAAAAATATGGAGTCGTTTGAAGTGATCCAGCTCTCCAGCAAGTTCCATGTTCTTTCAATGTAAAAACACACTCCCTTAAAGATCCTCCTCCATGTTCATTTTGTTTTGAGTCAAGGAAGCACCTGAGCTAAAAAGAAAAAAGGAAAAAAAAAAAAAGATTAAAACCTAGACTTAACAAAAAAGACAGAATTTTCCTAGTAGATCTCATGAAACAGGATTTGGGAAAGAGAATATTGTTAGTTTGGAGAAAATGTGCCCTGTTGAACTTGATCATTTAGCAATGCACATTGGTCTGAGGAAGAAGACTGTGCCATTTCCCTATAAGCTCCAGCCACCACATGAAGTGTTTTCTTCCCTAATTGTTATTTCAAAATCCAAAGTTCTGTGCTAAAGGCCTTTGACGAAATTGCAAACGAGAACAAGCATAAACAAGTGGTCAGAGAAGAATGGTTTTAAAAGTCCCATTTACACAGTTGTAGAGAATAAGAGCAAGCCATTCTTGGCACAAAAACAAAAAAAAAAATCACAAAAACCTGTGACAGTGGCTACTTACTGATATGAAGGGAGGAAGATCCCTATGAGCATTAAATACTCAGAGTCAGACCTGAAAAATATTCCAGGGTATGATATGAAATGGGAGGAAAGAGAATAATGTCATAAAAAAAAGTCACTTGACTACAGACTACATCATAGCAATAGTCCATAAGGAGTCCCACAATGGCGCTTTTAAGTTACTCTAGATTCAACAGGGCAACATTATGATGCTTTGTTCTTGGTGATCTACCTCTGCCCATACAGCCTTTCTTGCAGTAATTGTCCTTGATGCCCTCCTCACATACTATTTTCTGCCTCCACCTGCCCACCCTACCTGCCCTGCTGCCTACACTAGAACAGTCTGTCTTTGTTATCTATCAGGCAGAGGGGCTGGGTGATGTGGCAAGGGACTCTGGAAAGATCCAGCAGCTGCATCAGGAGGCTCCTAGAACAGAGAGCAGGCCAACGTTTGAAAGGTAGACAGCTCTGCAATCAAAATGATGGCCCAGCCAAAGTGAATAGATTCTGAGACTCTGCTCCTTGAGGGATTGGTGGTGAGGGAAGCCAGGCAGAACCCCAGGTCAGAAAACAGTAAGTGCAAAGCAAGAAGAGAGCAAAGTAGGGGCACCTGGGTGGCTTAGTCAGTTAAGCGTCCGACTTTCACTTGGGTCATGATCTCGCGGTTCGTGGGTTCAAGCCCTGTGTCGGGCTCTGTGCTGCCAGCTCAGAGCCTGGAGCCTGTTTCAGTCTGTGACTCCCTCTCTCTCTGACCCTCCCCTGCTCACGCTGTCTCTCTCTCTCCTAGAAATGAATAAAACATTAAAAAGAAGAAGAAGAAGAAGAAGAAGAAGAAGAAGAGAGCAATGTAACTGGGAGGACCAGAAAGCAGTTAGTTGAAATAGATCCCTCAACCAGTGGAGTGTGATCATGAGGGTGGAGACAGCAGTCTAGATGCCAGATTTAGGATTCATGTTGCAGGTAACTTTCTGGGATGCTAACAAAGGCTCCTCCAGAGCATCCATCCCCAGGGCTTCTTCGTGCCCATTACTCCTTATGATTAGCAAAACCAAAGGATCAAATTCTTGTCCATGAGTTACAAAATAGGCTTTTAAAATTCATAACAGAAATGATCTTACTAAAATCCAAACTATTTTTGCTCGTATGAATTAGGCTTTTCAGTGACAAAAGATTGTTTTGGTTCCAAAAGCTTGGCTTTGAATATCAGGATCTAACGGTCTGAACAAAAAGTTTATGCTATAGTCAAATTTGTACCATAAACAATGGCGTTGGAGAGATTGCAGGGTGATGCATAAGCCATCTGCCTCCTCCCATGGCAGCCACTGCCCCACCCCACCCCCCAAGACCAGCAGAAAATCTCATAGGTTCGAGGAAAGAAGATACTTGGGAAAAGAGAGCAAGAGAGTGAGGAATTGATATGAATTCCTAAGAAAGGGGCCTTCATATCCTGCACATCCCAGGCTCCAATCCATGGAGCTGGAGTCAAGGTCCCTAAGAGAAATCCCAGATGGGTTTTCTGGTCCTCCTAAGGACCTGAGAGCACAAGAAACTTCTGCTTCTCTTTTCAGGGAGTATTCCCGAGACACGGAACCAATGAAGACCCATTGATGAGGTCATAAACAGCTGCCAGTGCACAGTGATAAGGACCAGACAGATTAAGTTGTATCTTATAGATCCCAGCAGAAGACAGGTGAAGTAGAAGATGGCTGCCAAATAGATTCACTCCCTTCAACAGAGCCAGGGTGAAAGAGAAACTTGTCACCCTGACTCCCAGAGCTTAGATCATCTATGGGAGACAAAGATATCTTGAATTAGCTGAATCCAGTGTTCTACCACAGAGCAGACAGGAGGGCTCAAGGGCTAAACTAGAGTCAGTTATAGAGAAATAGATACCTCTTTGCACACCTGAGTGTTTTGACTGTGGTATTTATACCTGTTAAAAGATCTGGATCCAGAGTAACACTGCTCTCATGCTGGGCCTCCTAAACTGGTGTTTAGGAAACCACACATTGTCTCTAAATAAACTGTATAGAGTTCGGAAATACACCTAACCATACACCAGAATTTAATATAAAAGCTACACTTCAGACCAGTGAGGAAAAGATTATTCAATAAATAGAGTTGGTATAACTAGGAACCATTTGGAAAATGATTAAGAAAAATCTCCATCTTGCTCTTCATACCAAAGTAAATTTCAAAGATTTTAACTCTGCAAAACCTGGTAACACCGGAAGAAAATGGGGTAATATTAGAATGGGAAACACTTTTCTAAGAATGACACAAAACTTAGAAGTATAAGAAGATTGAAACATTTGACTACAATTTTTTTATTTCTGCACAATAAAAAATAATGAACAACTAAAAGGCAATTGGTAAATTTGGAATATCATTTATAACCCATATTGTAGGGCTAATTTCCTAAATTTATAAGGAGCAGATATCAGTTAATAAAAAGATGTCCAACACAAGAGAAGATTAAACAAAAGACACGGACAAGGAAGGCAGAAAAAGAGATACAAATGGCTAATGCATATATGCAAAGATGCTCAACCTCTTTAATAATTAAGGAAATCTAAACCCAACTAACATTTTTTTTTGCATTTTATTATTTGTGATCATTTTATTACTTGTAGGCTCAAATGAGTATTCCATGTGTACATGATAACACAAGGAGAAATGGAAAAATCAAAAGTTTTTATTGCTAATTTTCATAACTGTAACACTTTAACTTTTAAGTTTTATTTATTTATTTATTTATTTAGAGAATGGCAGAGTGAGAGGGAGAGAGGGAGAATCCCAAGCAGGCTCTATCCACACTGTCAGCACAAAGCCTGACACAGGGCTCAAACCGTGAAATCATGGCTTGCGCCGAATTCAAAAGTTGGATGCTTAACTGACCGAGCCATTCAGGTGCCCCACATAGCAGTAACACTCTAGCTAAGCAAGTTTACAAACACAAATGGATGTAAAAACCTGAGTAAAGATTTACGAATCTTTAAATTAAAGATAGTTTCTCACATTTTTTGACAGAGGGTTACATTATAGGGTTACATTATATTTTCTAAAAGCATATTATAAGTGAATTCACATTTTAAAATAATCCACTTCCTATGAATTTCAAAGTTATTAGAAGAAACCAATGCAATGCTCTTTGGTTTTAATGCTCTCAAATAGTATGACAGGGGTCCTTCAGGACCGCCTCCTTCCTTTTCTCTGTGCATATGCAAATTATCATAGTCTTACTCCTGGGCCATTGATATTTCCTTCTGAAAGACATACAGAAAATCCTTAATTCTAGTGAACCAAAATAACATTTTTTAATCAATGAAATTGGCAAATATCTAAGCTTGATAATACTTTTGCTAGGGCCATGGAAACCAGACATCTTCATACACCTTTGCTATAAGAATAATTGTCATAATTTATCAACATGTGTGAAACCATTTAGTCTATGATCCTTTTGGTGAGAGGAACTTAAACTACAAACACACCTGAAAAAGTTCATGAAATAGGTTCATTGCAGTATTGCTTCTAGTTTAAATAAAAAAGGAAACTCTCTTTAAGTAGGGATCTAGGGAAGGGATTGCTCGAGGCAGGGCACACCATTTCAGGAGCCTGGGGTAAGGAGGGGGTTCATGGGCTTGACTCACACTGAAGTTAAATTCAGTTCTATTTCTCAGCTAACTAAATGATCCCCATCTTCTATTTGTACCATGAGGTTTTGTACTTTTATTTTTTCACTTAACTCAGCCATAAAAATATTAATTAGAGTCCTACTATGCTCTATACATATTTTATTATGTCTATAATGAAGCTGGGGTTTGAAGGATTGGTGTAATTTGAACAAGCAGAAAAGGTCGGAAGGTCATTAAAGGAGGAGAAACAAACATGGCGTCGTGGGAGTGTATAATATGCTTAATGAGCAAAATAAAGCACATCTGAATTCTTTTTGGGGCCAGGAGGTGTGTAGTTAGAGAATAAGCTTATGGTCAGATAAGATGCAGAAGCCATTGCATTACCAGCAAATGATCATTATTGTTACATTTGTATTTTTTGCAAAACAACTCTGGCAGCCAAATACAGGGTGGAATGAAGAGGAAAGGAGGGAGGGAGGCTAATTAGCTGGCTGATACAATGGGTAATGAGGTCAGAACAAGGTCAATAGAAGGTAGAATGGAAAAGGTTGAGAGGGTTGGAGACAATTCAGAGATGGTGGAAACAGAAGATGGCTACTTATCTGATGTGGGAAGTGGAGATGAAGTCATTTGAGATAGCATTAGCAAAAGCGTGTTGTTGATTGGAGGTGAAAAGGTGCAGAGGAGGTGAAAGCATTTCTAACTTCAGAGACTAAGGAAAAGTTGGTGCTGTTAACCAACATAAGGATCCTGGCTAGGAAGGCATTTTGGTAGAGGGCTGGAAGACATGCTAAATTTTGGAAGTGTTGAGTTTGAGATATCTATGTGGTGTCCAGGAACAGATGTCTGACTGATATTTGGAAACTATGATTGGAACCTTCTGAGTGAAAAAGACCGCTCCATGGGTAATGCCAAGAAGAGAAGAGTGGAGGTAGGACTTTGGAGAATATGTGCATTTCAGGGCTGGGTCAAGGATGGGGTGTCAGCAAAGGGATTGGACGAGGAAAGGTCAGAGTCCATAGAGAAATAGTGCTCTGGAAGCCACAGGTGGAGCCGGCCAGTAATGCTAAACAGTGGGGCAAGCCCTGTAGAGCCGCAAGAAAGTTCAGCTGGGCTAGCTGCCCCCAGCCGCACTGATTCTCTCCAGCTGCTCTCTGAAGTTTAAAGCACCACAGTCCCTGCTAAACCACAGTTTCATTTTCTGAGGTCTGGAAGCAGATAACCCTCCTTCGGAGGTACCTTCTAATGCTGCAGCACCCTGCCTACGTCATTCATCTCATTTCATATCGCGTAGGCGTTTTGTTATCTCACAGCATCACAAGAAGAGAGGTGAGTACACAACAATTAGATATTTTGAGAAAGACCACATTCACTTAACTTTTATTATAGTACATTGTCATAATTGTTTATTTTTAATGTTTGTTTATTTTTGAGAGAGAAAGAGACAGAGTGTGAGCAGGGGAGGGGCAGAGAGAGAGAGGGACACCAAATCTCAAGCAGGCTTCAGGCTCTGAGCTGTTGTCACAGAGCCTGACCTGGGGCTCGAACCCGTGTAACGCGAGATCACGACCTGAGTGGAAGTCAGACACTCAACCTACTGAGCCACTCAGGTACCCCTTAATTAGCCTATTTTATTACTAGTCACTGTTGTTCATCTCTTACTGTGCCTAATTTGTAAATTTACCATAGGTGTTTGTGCATACGAGAAAACATAGTATATATAAGGTTCAGGCATCCACTGGGGGTTTTGGAATGTTTCCCCTGCAGATAAAGGGGGACTACTGTATTGTTCAGCTTTTTCTATGAAAACTTTCAAACACGTTCTGAGAAATAAGTGTTATAATCCCCTTTGTCCCGGGATACACAAATATAAAAAGATGCAATTTCCTGACCCTCTTTGGCAAGTCCAGGGCAATGGAGCTCACAGTTCTCCAGGCCTTAGTCCAAGACGCCAACAGCCAAAACCTTCCAAGCAAATAAATAAACAAAAGCAGCAAAAATACACCAGAGTCCACAGAAAGTCATGCAAATTAAATGACACTTATTTTTCCATATGAGAAAACTTGCTTCTGACAAGAAAATTGAGTTCCTTTTCTACATTTTCTAGCATAATGTTCCTGTTCTTTCTTAAATCTCGAAAGAATTTCCCAGCAATCTCTATGCTCCTTAAATCCTGACAAAGCCAAGGATATTCCTCAAAGCTGGCTTTTGTTAGAACACCTAGGGGATGCTTTCTAGACATTTCACTTCACTGACTTTTTTGGGAGTTACTAAATATTTAAGCGTGTAATTAATCCTAAAGCCCTTCTGATTATTTGCTCGGAAAAAGAATTGATTTAGATGGCAATGACAGACTCCTAGGCATGCCTTGCAACTTATGTAAGAAACCAATGAGTTATTACAAAAATAAATCAAATCTGTATATTGTGACGTAAAGCTGCCAAAACAAATAAACTTAAGATGCAAAAATGTTTTTAATAATGTTTTAAAAACCGCTTTATATGATGTATACAAAATAAGAGAACTTTATTAAATAGCGTTTTTTGAAGCCAGAATGCAAACCAGGCGGTGGAAATGAAACCAGCCTCATTAGGTGAAGGAATAGTTGTTTCCTAAAATAAAGAGCTAAGGGCTCAGGAGCATAACTTGGAAAACTTATAGTAATTTTGTTTTAGAAATCCAACTTTATAAGTTTAAGGAACAATCCTCACCTTTTCACAAACTGTCAGATATGTGGACAACTAGAAAATTTAATTGATTTCATCTAATTTAGAAATTGGCTTTATTTGCTATCGGTGTAATAAAGGAAACTTCAGTAAATTCAAATAAATTGAAGGTGCCTTAATTTGACTCCTCTTTCTCTGTGGTCTGGAAGTAAGCAGTAGTCCTTCTCCCCTTCAGAGTTAGGCCTT